GTCTTCACGACATGGCTGCAGCGTCAACAATACTACAGTGAGAATTAAAGTTACGCCTTCTTTCTTTGCGTTAACATTTGGGCGGCGTTATGCAAATTTTCCCAGATCGTGACGTAGGTATGTGGGGGCGTGTTAGAACGAGCCGTTTTAGGTAGGCGTGGTTGACTCTTAACTTTTATAAAGAATATCTCTTTGGATTTAAGACTTTAGTCTTTGCAACTTTACAGATCTTCTTTATGCACCAAGAGCTTGTAACACTCCAAAGAGAAAGGAAAAATTGAAATCGCAACATATGGCCCCTTTAATATACTGTGTTTGCTATTAATTTAAGAAAACACAAATTTTATGTTTGTGATTGTATGGTCAAGCTACACTAACTGTTTAAAGGTGTTGCAGTGGCAGAATGTGATTGACTTCAAGCATGATACACACAAACTTAAAGCAGTGGTCATGACTGTGTGTTACCTGGGCGGCAACAAGTGTATTTTTATGGTCTTGTAATGTGAGTGAGAGATGATCTTTTGAAGCTTGCAGGTTCTTGTGCTGTTCCTGAAATGGTGAGGAAGAAATAAATAACTGTCATTTCAGTAACGTTTAGAATAGTAAAAGTCCATGTTTTAGGATTACAAACTGAATAGCAATACAGTAGTCAACATTTGATGTGGATCAAAAAAGTTCATCGAAGTTGTCCTAAGACGAGAATGCATGTTGGTTTTTAGTATATTTCGAATTGTGTAAAACCAATATGCTGTATGTTTCTGTTCTCTACTCTCTTGAGACATGGGACACACAAATGCACCTGCCTGTAGTTTTGAAAGTGGCTTCATTTCATATTTAATATTTTCACATCACTCGTAACTGAGACAACTGAGATTCAGTGTCCTTGAATAAATATTTGAAGCATTTCACTGATTGTGAAGCTACTGAATGAATGCAAGAAGACATGGTTTTAATTAAGACATGAACAAATCTGAATGAAGCTTCAGTCACTAGGACGAATCGGTCAACTCGTCTTTATTTCTATAGCATGTTATAAAATGCAGATTGTGTTATAGCAGCAGTCATAACCAGTACATTAGCAGAATCGTTTATGGTAATTCATAGGGCTGCATGATAAATTGTGATCTCAGTTTCTGCAGTATACGCTCACTGGTTATTTATACTGAAAACTTGAGAGGATTTAGCATTTGCTTTATGGCTGCGGTTGCCAGATGTCATTATTTTAAAATCTCCCGATCAGAGCTTTTTGCTTAAAGGGGTGGTTCACTGGGTTTTTTCGTGCTCGGGGTGGTGACTGAAGGCGGTGACTGTGTCGTTCTGACGTCAACTTTTTACGGAAGTCACAACGGTTCGTGAAAAATCACAGCTACTTTATGCAGGCTGTGTGCATTTTATTGTGGACTGACTGTTTTGAAACTTATATGGTAGTTACATAGCCTCTAGACCTCAGTTATCATGAAAAAAGCCAGGATATTTCAGTTTTGACAATATGGGACCTTTAAGATATTCTGCTCAAATAAATGTCGCACAATTAAAAGTTGCATGGTTTGCACGCAGATTTAGTCACAGCAAACAGCGCAGAACGGCGAAAGACAATACTGCTGCGGGCTAAATCTGCCAGCGAACCATGCAGCGCTCTGTTGATTTGTGCTTTTGTGAAAATGCTTTAATTCTGAGGAAATGTAAAAACAATCACGCAGCCCTAGAAGCTCAATTATGGCAGGTGTTCAGATTCTGAAGTCATTATTCAGCTGAAGTCTGATGGGTTTGGATGAGTTGAGCTCAGACTGATGTTCAGTGAAGGGTGTGATGGTCACAGGTGCTGGAGAACGCAGAGGGAGCGAGGACCACGCCGTCAGTGGTGGCCTTCACAGCTGATGCAGAGAGACTCGTGGGAATGCCAGCCAAACGCCAGGCCGTCACCAACCCCAACAACACGCTCTACGCTACTAAACGCCTGATCGGACGCCGCTACGACGACCCTGAAGTTCAGAAAGACCTGTGAGACGTCTGTGTTAAACAGATGTACACCACTGTACATGTGTGTGTGTGTGTATATATATATATATGTGTATGAATTGTGTGCAGATAAGTGCTGAGCTTTGCTGTGATTGACAGGAAGAACGTGCCCTATAAGATCGTGCGTGCGTCTAACGGAGACGCCTGGCTGGAGGCCCACGGTAAACTGTACTCTCCCAGTCAGGCCGGAGCCTTTATCCTCATGAAGATGAAGGAGACCGCAGGTCAGTCCTCCTCCTGAGGAAGAGACGCATGCAACAGATGATCAGCCGCTCCATCAAACCACTGCTTGTCTGTTTCAGAGAGCTACCTGGGTCACGCGGTGAAGAACGCTGTTATTACTGTACCTGCTTACTTCAACAACTCTCAGAGACAGGTGCGGCGCACAATCAGTGATCAACTAACCTGTTAAATGTGCATATCAGTATCAGCTCATGTTGAGAACATTGCGAACCAGCTTTGATTCATGCAATGGTTGTGTTTATAGGCGACTAAGGACGCCGGACAGATTGCAGGTTTGAATGTGCTGCGTGTCATTAATGAGCCGACGGCTGCTGCTTTAGCCTACGGACTGGACAAGACTCAGGACAAAATGTAAGCTTTAGATACTCGTCTTCATTATTTGATCATATTTGTATACCAACAAAGTTAGGGATGCTCTATATCACTTTGTCATGATCAATACTGACACTGCAGCCTGAAGTATTAAATCAGTTCACTCAGAAATGCATGCATGTATTCGTTAGAACATATTAATTAGCAATGCTGAACTTATTTTTAGCATGTTTTGACAGTAGCTTGAGTTGGGATGCTGATGTGAGCTTGTTTACATTGAGAAAAGTGTACACTGCCGCTCAAAAGTTTGGGGTCAGTAAGACTTGTAATGTTTTTAAAGAAGTCTCTTCTGCTCATCAAGGCTGCATTTATTTGATCAAAAATACAGAAAAAAACAGAATATGAAGCAGCAACAGTTTCCAGCTCTGATAATAAATCAGCATATTAGAATGATTTCTGAAGATCATGTGATACTGAAGACTGCAGTAATGATGCTGAAAATACAGCTGCGCATCACAGAAATAAATTACATTTCAATGTATATTACAATAGAAAAACGTTATTTTACATCATAATAATATTTCACAATATTACACTTTTCCTGTATTTTTGATCAAATAAATTACAAATATTTACTTTAAATACAAATGCACAGAAAATGTGCAATTATATTCCATTATCCCTTTAAAACATTGTAATATGTGCGTACATGAATAATATATTAAAATAAAATAAAATCCCAGACAACACCATAGCTGCAGTTAGTTACTACAGTAAATCCATGAATTGAAATCAGTTGGACAAATTTGTAGTGGAAGCACTGCAAAACAAAATGTAATCAGTTTTGCTGTCATTCAGCCTCCGTCTGGAGCCCTGTGTCTTTAAATGGTTCTAGTTGGTCGTGATTAATCCGTCAGATGACATCAACATTAACTGAGAAGTCTTTATACTGAAGTCTCTGTGAATGTTGTTATCTGACGTGGATCTGCTTACTGCTGTCGTGCTCTGGCTTCATTCTAAAGGTTATTACTCTTCCCAGGATCGCAGTGTATGATCTCGGCGGTGGGACGTTCGATATCTCTGTCCTGGAGATCCAGAAGGGAGTTTTCGAGGTGAAGTCCACCAATGGAGACACGTTCTTGGGCGGAGAAGATTTCGACCAGCATCTCCTCAGACATATAGTGAAGGAGTTCAAGAGAGAGGTTTGTGTCCGTCCTCCCAAAAAACAAACGTGTGTGTGTGTGTTTAGTAGTAGTGCTCTGATCGGCAAATTCGAAGCCAGTAACGATCGCTGATATTTTAACACTAAGATCAGCCGATGCCGATTGTTGATGTTTAATTGTAAAGACCCCATCTTTTAGCTTGAGTCGTTTTTTTTTAGTTAATAGTTAATATGCTTCACCAAAATGTATCACACTGTAAAATTTAGACTGTTTACATTTTGTAAACATTACTAAAGTTACATTTAACCGTTGTGTCATTACTATCAAAGATCTTTGTGACGTGCTGGCAGCCAGTGAACCACATGAGCTCAAATGCAGCGGTGAAGAGAAATATCAGTTGAATAGATCAATAATAAAAAGGCTGAATTTGCACAGAATTGGCCAAATGGATCATTGATGCTTTAATAATTTTAACTCTTATTATAGAATGTAGAAACTGAGCTTTTGTCATCTTTATGTAAGACTGTTAATAAATGGACTGCAGTGGGTTGTTGGTAATAAGTGCACTTTATGCATTTACCTTTTTTAAATTTGCTTTCAGCTGGCAAGCACAACTTGCTCGGATATCTGGTTCATTTAGATGGCTGTAATTTAGATGATAATTATTGCAATCGGGTTCAATCGAAGGCTGCTGTCAGATACTGTAGGTTCATTTCATTAGTTGCTCTTAAAACCAGGGTTTCCGCGGGGACTTAAAAAGTATTAAATTTAGTTGTATCAAATTTAAGGCCTTAAAAAGTCTTAAATTGTACAAGAAAGTCTTAATTATGATTTCAAGAGGTCTTGAATTTGGGGACTGAAAGACCAGAATTGCGATATGGCTGAATGTGACGATTAAACTTAAAAAGGCTATGATTTCATGAAATAAACAGGAGCGCTGCACGTTCAGAGTCCGCTGCTGCTGCTCTGTGTTCTGCTGTTACCAGGGAAACAGTTATATTTCTACCAAACGCGCCACCTGCTGGCAGAGAATGAATGCACATTTTCAATAAAACTGTTGTTTTGTTCAGAGTTCAGACCAATGCAAAAATCGACCCATGTTGTTACCCTGCAAACACGCAGAGCTTTAAATGTGAACTGGTGGATCGATAAGAAGACAATGCATTATAAAAATCTAAACATAGGGGTGTGAGATATGTATGGTCTGCGATAATATTGTAATTGTTTTAACGATGTGCGATTTGATATTATCGAGTATATCGCGAAAAGCAAACAAAACACCTACAGAGTGCATAAGATATAATTTTTTTGTTAATATCGCACACCCCTAATTATGTTATTTAATTGATATAATAATTTATTGATAATAATGGTTTAAATTAATATAATACTTTTGACTCATCTATTTTCTTAAAAGTGGTTCAAAGGCTGAAATGTGAAGTTTATCGTTTTACAAAACTTTTTGTTAAATTATGCTTTTTACAGTAATTTTACAGTTTAATATGGTACTATAGACATTGCCCTACCCCGCTCATATGGTATTAATTTTATTTGTGCAAGGTCTTAAAAAAGGTCTTAAATTTGAGCTTAAAAATCCTGCAGAAACCCTGTAAATCGCGGTAGTAGAGGGCCATATGAATGCTCTGCAGGGTTTTCAGCAGTGCATGTCGTTGTGAGTGCTGCTTGCTGATGGTCTGAAGCCGTGTGTGGTGTCGTTGCAGTCTGGAGTGGATCTGACCAAAGACAGCATGGCTCTGCAGCGGGTGAGAGAGGCTGCTGAGAAGGCCAAGTGTGAGCTGTCCTCCTCTCTGCAGGTGAGAGACCGACCGACAGCCCAGAAACACAACAATCACACTGACATTTAGAGTTGTTGTTAATCTGATTTTCTTTTTGTATTGTAGCAAATTGGTGAAAAATATATGACTTTTGCATAGGGTTGTAACAATATAAAAACCGTACGATACGATAATATCGCGATATGAAGACTACAATACGATATTTATTGCGATAGAAAATTTTGTGCATTTTAAAGTTAAATTATTCTATCTAATGCACTTTAAGAGTTCAAAATTATGTCAGAAGAAAGTCAGTGAATTGACTCTTACCTGAACTTTAAAGAGGACTCAACCCTCTTTTTATTTGTGATCTGTCTCAGTCTAAATTACACTCACACCGGTGTTTGAGAAGCCAAACTAATTAGAATATAATAATAATAATAATAGCAACAATGACAGTAATAGCCACATATTGTAAAACATGAAACTGCATTTAAACCGCTAGCTGTCAGCGATTCATGCTGCACTTTAAGCTTTTATTTTGAAGGAAACTCCAGCTTCAGTGAAAACATGTTCACAAAAACACGTCTGACTACAAATCTAGTGAAACGCTGTAATCATCTGCTGTGAAAATAAAGCCTAACTGGTGGCCGTTGTGTTCCCAAACGTGTGCTAAACTCACAGCAGTGAAATAAAGGAGTGGACTGCATTCATTCAGTGTGAACGAGTCGTTCTGAGACGCGGAAAACACCGGATCACGAGCTGATCGTCTGAACCAAGTGTGTGCTTCGCTTTGAAACACAGCGCAAACAGACTTGATGAAGCCATATAGTGCTTTCAGTTTGAGTTTGTTTGACAGATACTGTGCCAAAGCATAATGCCCCAAAACACAACTTTAAAGACCTGTTAAAGAAGTTTAAATATATTTTAAAAACTACACCTTTTTGCCTGAGAAGACCCATCGTTTCATATCATCATGTGACCGCGATAATATCGAGACTATCGCGGTACCACGATGTTGACAATATGGTTACATCCCTACTTTTGCAGTGTAAAATAAAATAATTGGAGAGAGATCCAGCTCTGAGATACTGAAAGCATCAGATCATGGGCTGCTTTAACAAAATCACAGTGTTTCTGAAACGCAGCACGTCGTCAGACCAAAGGTTTAATATGATTACATCACAGCATTTGCAATTTTTTTTTTTTTACAAAATTGCTTTTATGAGATTAAAAAAAAATTCACAGGAGCGTCCTGGCCAGGAAAGGCAGGCCAGTATAAGTTGTACACACATACACAAAACCTATACACATTTAAAACATGCAACATTTAAAAACAAACAAGGTAAAAACCAATCTGATGATGTGTCCCCCGCACAGCCACTAGATGGCGCTGCTTGCTCATTCAGTGCATGAAATAAATGTGAAGATGCAGTATTTTGTAGTTTTAGTAATTGTTTAAAGCCATTTTGTGAGGCATACATCTCAGGTTGGAAAATACAGAAAATCATGTTTTTTTTTTTATTAGGAGCGTTTAGAGCCCTGTCCATTATGGCGTTATGTTCCAAGTCTTGTGAAGCCATATAATAAATTTGAGGAACAGGGTTTAAGGAGATAGTCCACCCAAAAAATGAGAATTGTCACCAAAAAAAGAGACCTTTAAAAAAATGAATAAAAAATGTCATCCTTTATCTTAGAAGAAAAAGTCCAACATGTTTGAAACGTAAAGATTCTGACATTTACCATTTCATTTTTAGGCCAATTATCTCTTAAGACTGTAATTGGCAATAATCCTGTCTGTCACTGAAGCTCTCAATTCCAAGAGTGATATTTCTGAATCAAAATAATGCACAACAGCAGGTTTAACAAGTCAAATTGGTTATTGATAGACAAGTATATTGGCCATGCTGATTAATCTGTGTATTTTGTCATTTTGAAACCGTTTTATATAGAGAGTAGTTTCAAAAAGTCAGTGTGTGAGCCGTGCTGGCAAAATGAGTCCTGATGAGCAAATTTTCAAAAATGTTCTTTTTTCACATTCTCCATTAAAATAACTCCAATTTTTATATGACATGTTGGAATCGGACAAGAAAAGACTGCGCTACAGCGGTTTGAAGGCGATAGAGTCCGCAGAGTTCATTTTGAGAGAAACGTTGCATGTTTTCCACCAATTCTCTTCTTAATAATAATCATTATATTATTAATCACAATATAGCTATTTTTTTATCTTTGTTATTAAAAAATAAGAACATGGATGCAAATAAACAGTAGTTTAATGAAGAGCAGCGAGTGATTCCGTCTTTTCTTTTAATGCTTGATTATCATTGAGACAGATCTATATTAAGACCTACTGTAATGCATGCGTCTAATATAATGTTGCACATCAGATTTTCCCCCAAACATTAACTAAACGCTCATGTAAGACATAACGGATTATGTTTGTGAGGTTAATAATGTAGCAATAATGTAGGCTACTTTATAGAGAGAGGCGTGTCTTATGCACGCTCTTTGCAAATGTCAGTGAGCTCGTGTGTTTTGTGTTCATCAGCGTGGGTTTGAAAATCATGTTTCGCTGGTTTGGACTCGTGTCATCGAGAATTCGATATGAATATTCACAAAGCTGGAATGCTGCAACCATACAGCTTGAGAAGCAGCAGCAGTCGTCAGAAGTGAGCAGAGAAAAAGCTACTCCTCTCAGAAAGCGTACCAATAAAGATCAATTTAGATGTTTAATTGCTATTTGGAGCATTGTGATCGCTAGAAGAGGGCTTAATGAACTCATTTTTGTTCAAAACTGACATTCTTCCTGTAGCTCAAAATTAGACCCATGCGCATTCACACTCATTCTGCCAGAACGGCTCACATATGTGTCCCTGCAGCACAAAAGCAGTGTTAAGTCGCTGGGGTATATTTGTAGCAATAGCCAACAATACTCAGATTCCATATTTCCAAATAGTTGTATCTTAGCCAAATATTGTCCTATCCTAACAAACCATACACCAATGGAAAGATTATTTATTCAGCTTTCAGATGATGTATAAATCTCAATTTAGAAAAATTGACCCTTATGATGCGATATGTGACCTTGGAGCACAAAACCAATGTAATACCAGCTTGTGATGATGAATCAGTTAGTTGGGATGAGTTGTCAGCATGCAGTGGTTATTGCAGGTTTAGAGTTTCAGTAACAGTGTTGTAATATCTCTGCACACAGACGGACATCAACCTGCCGTACCTGACGATGGACGCCTCTGGCCCCAAACACCTGAACATGAAGCTGACCCGCGCTCAGTTCGAGGGCATCGTGGCGGATCTGATCCGCAGGACCGTGGCGCCCTGTCAGAAGGCCATGCAGGACGCAGAGGTCTCCAAGAGTGACATTGGAGAAGTGCTGCTGGTGGGAGGAATGAGCCGCATGCCGAAGGTGAGAGCCCAACCTCGGCACACAGACGGACATCACCCTGCCGTACCTGACGATGGACGCCTCTGGCCCCAAACACCTGAACATGAAGCTGACCCGCGCTCAGTTCGAGGGCATCGTGGGGGATCTGATCCGCAGGACCGTGGCGCCCTGTCAGAAGGCCATGCAGGACGCAGAGGTCTCCAAGAGTGAGATTGGAGAAGTGCTGCTGGTGGGAGGAATGAGCCGCATGCCGAAGGTGAGAGCCCAGTCTGTCTGAGAGGAAAGCTTCATGATCCTGATGCAGGCCCCATGGCAGCGTGATCATCCCGTACTCTCGATTACTAGATTTAACACACAGCAAACTTGAATGAACATCTCACCGCTCACGTAATCACTCAATCAGTGCTTCAACCGTTTAAAGACGTCATTAAAAACAAAATGTCACGCAGCATTTCATCAGTGTCTACAACTCGTTATTTGCTAGAGAAATGAAGTCTAGAGAAGAGCATTCTGAGAATTACTCGACTATATACTCAATTATATTTCACTTTACCTGTTCATTATGTAATGTATGTTTAAATAAAGCTTTTAGACGGTATAGTTTTGAAAAATACCGTGATATAAATTTTTGGTCATACCGCCCAGCACTAATTGAAATTGTATAATTTAGAAGTTAGTTTAAAAACTGCATTATGTGCAATTTACATGTTTGCATACTTTTTTTTTTTTTGAGTGTTGATTATTATAGTTAAACATTTATAGTAATTGAATTTCAGTTTGGCCTCTGTTTATTGTAACTTTGAAATAAAAGGGCTCACTATAGTTTAGAGACCATAAGCTGAGGTAGATTTTTATCCCTAAGAAAATTAAATTATGATTGAATTTATTTAAAGAGAACCATTTGTTCAGTAAACCATTGTTTAATTAAAAAACAACTAAAAACAAAAACAATTAGTTTAGTATTTTTTCCCCTGCTGTACCGAAACCGTACTGAACCGTCATGTTTGTGTACCGTTACACCTCTAGTGTTCACACACGCAAGCGGTTTTAAACCATTCCAGCGAAAGAAAAGGCGTAATAAAGCAATAAGCCCCGTGAAGCCGTGGTTTACAGTGAATTTATAACAGCTAAGGGGCGTTGTTAGGTAAATTCACTGTAAACCACGGCTTCACGGGGTTTATTGCTTTTATAAAACGGTTATTCCATATACGTAGTAAGGTTTCACAAAATAAAACTGAGCAAATAAAGTGTAATGATATTAATAAAAACAGTATTCTTCCACCAAACAATGTAGCTCCTCAGAATCAGTTGTGGTTGCAACAAAGTGGTTGCCGAGCAACACACAAACGTAAACAAAGGTGTATGTTACTTTGTAGAGTCATTTACAACAGTTTCGAACGTGGCTCAGCCAATCAGAATCAAGGACCAGAACGCTCCGTTTAATAAGGGAACTCGATTCGTTACTTGCGCAATGTTCACAGCCGCGCACCGAACTGAACCCTCTGTCATATCTCCTTCTCTCCTTGCCTTCAAACAGATGCATATATACATAAAATTGACAAAATGCAGATCTCGTCCATCATTCTTGTAAATGCAGTCGGTTGTGTCTTGAGTGAATGAGAACAGCTGGGAAAGTGCATCATTATATCGGATCCATGCATCAGCTCTTAAAGGGGCGGCAGCCTAATAATACCTGCTGCTGTCATTAATGCTCATCAAACAACAAAGCACGTTTTTGGCTAAGATGAATCTGCAGTGTTAGTTTACACTAAATGATTACATTTCTGTACCTGCATACTACAGAACATCGTTCTGTTGTATTCATCTATGCTTGTAATTTGTGTACTTGTTCTTATTTTCACTGGCTGTCCTCAGGTCCAGCAGACGGTCCAGGATCTGTTCGGTCGCGCTCCCAGTAAGTCTGTGAACCCCGATGAAGCCGTGGCCATCGGAGCGGCCATCCAGGGAGGCGTTCTGGCTGGAGACGTGACCGACGTGCTGCTGCTGGACGTCACTCCTCTGTCTCTCGGCATCGAGACTCTGGGGGGAGTCTTCACCAAACTCATCAACAGGAACACGACCATCCCCACCAAGAAGAGCCAGGTCGCCCGATGCCTTCTCAAGCTCGTGTATAAATCAAATCTTCTGAAGAGACATGATCATTTTATATGATGGATAGATTTAATATATGCTTTTATTCACACAATACGCATAAATAGAACTCGTCACACATCGTAAACTTGCTTGGTACATGAGAACAAACCTTAATGGTTCTT